CCCAAATTAATTTTCATAAAGCAATTTATTGTCAGTAAGGTATGTATAGATTCGGTTATACATTATCCTCTCGATAATTTTTTAGAAAAATGGAAGAATTGAAATAGAGCAATAGTTATTCATATTAAAATGTTCGCCGGTCTTGAAAGCAGGAATTATCTTTGCTATCTTAGATGATCTGGAAAAGATCCTTGAATTATAGATGCTCTAAATATTTTATAAATAATGTTTTTAATAATGTCGTAAGAGTCGAATATAATATTTCCATTAATGCCATCATATCCTGTTGCCTTATTTCTTTTTAATGATTTAAAATCATCATCAAATTCTTTAGTTAATAAAAAAGTTAACTCAGTATAAATTATGTTTGAATAACTGAGAATTTTGGCTATCATTACCGTGTTTATCGTTTATATTTGGAATACTGTTAGATAATTTTGTTCGTATAGCTGTAAAATGTTTATTCAATTCGATTGCAGTATTATTTAATTCAATTAATATAGTTTTTCCAATTTTCAATGTATGTGGTGGCGAAGTAGCATTATTTTTTATTTTCCCTGTGATTTTTTTTATCATTTGCCATACGCGCTTTGAATCATGTTTGTATTTGTTAAACAAGTCAGAGTAGTACTTTTTTTTTGGCGTTTTTGCAAAGTTTTTCGAATAGGTTTTGTAGGCAGTGTTGCCGAGAGCTTTTGTGGCGCCCGGGGCATAGCGTTGAGTAGGCGCCCCTTTAAGCATCATGAAAAAAAATAAAAATTATTGAATTCATTCAAGCACATATATGACTGTACACGGTTTTAAAATGAATTTTCTTAATTATGGTTTACTTCTGTTAAAATCATTTTACGGCAAAATTTTCAAAAAATGCGTCTATAAAAAATACAACTAAGCAACGCCAATACAACATAAAATGCATTATTAGATATTCTTTAGAAATTAAAATAACAAAAAACGGCCTACATAAAACACTCTTTTCTTGCTTTTTTACCGACAAAATTTATTATTGTATCATCATATGAAAAAGTCAAAGCCAACTCATTTAATAATACTTCATCAATTTTAGTTTACTAAAGGATCGTTCACCCTCTGCAACAGATACTGGCATTGTATTAAAAATTTGAATTAAGATGCATATATATGCAAAAATAGATTGCAGACTCTTTGAATGTATTTGGTTAAAAAGGCTCCATGAGTTTCTAGGAATAAAAAAACGAAGACTCTTTCAAACAATTAAGATGCAAAATTATTAGCGTAGAACTGTGCTAATTTACGAGCTTTGATCTCTTGAGAATCTGGTTCCTGGTCTGATGAATGAGATGACTAAGAACCTTGAAAAAACACTCTTTACCATGTCAAATCTTGACAGAATTTGATAAATAAAATAATCAAGAGCAGCGTTAAAGATGTTTCCCTCAAATTGATGCTCGGGGCTCTGATAGCAGAGAGCTGCATTTTCAAGTTCAATGTGATACCGTTTCACTCTCTTCTTTCGTTTTGCCAAAAATTCTGTTTCAAAGCCTAGAGGAGCTGCAACAGCTTTCGATTCAGTCAAAATACTATTCCATAATGCGCGGATGCGGCCAAGATCGCTTATTAGCTGTTGAATTAAAATAATTTCGTCATCTATTGTTAGTGAGGTTACCTGAAACAAACGGCATATTTAATCTACTACTTGAAGAACTTTACATCAAAAGGTCAGAAGCACAACAGTCTCAAAGGATTTATAAAAATTTATCAAGACTTAGCTTGATTTAGCATTTACTTATTAATATATTTTAACCTTGTTTTACTTTTACTTTTTTTAATTTTTATATCTTTAAAGTAGCTTTTTAATTTATCCTCTTTTTTTTCTTTTTTCTTTTCGTTTTTTACCTTTAAATAAGCAGATTTGTCATTTGAGATGCAATTGCATAGAGTGACATTGAAATATGCACTTTATTACTTTCGTGAGACTATGTGCCATAAGGTAATACGTCATCACTTTCATATTATGCATTTATACAAAAAAAATTCTCTCTAAAAAAAAACTCACTGTACTAAACATAATAATCCGTTAGCACGAGAAGCGTCATTGTAAATTAATTAAACTTCTAATTCATTTAATGAAATTATGCTATAAAAACATCATATTAAATCACAAAACATTAAAATTAAAAGTTAAACATTGTATAGACACTTAAAAAAAATTTTATCATTTTTTAGCGCCCTATTATCTTGGCGCCCGGGGCACGTATGCCCCCTTTGCCCTCCCTACGCTTATAGAAAAAAATACAGGAAAATGGTTGGAGACGTCGGTTTTAATTATTCCCTTTTTTAGTGATTTGTTGAAAAAATCACTAGTTAAGATATTGACAATTAATGACGATGAGGAGTTTGTAATTCTAGTCGTTCGGTTGATTATCGGTATTGCCCCCGTTTCGAACAAGTGGAAAGTTTAAATATTTTGTAGAGACTGGAATTACCGAAAAACGGTTCCTTCAGTAAATTTCGGTTCCTAATTTGAAAAGAAACTGATAACTTCGGTTCTTTTCGATTCCTTATTTTAGGCAAGAATTGTTATTACGGTAAATTTCGATTCCTTATTTTAAGAAAGAATCGTTATTACGGTAAATTTCGATTACGATTTTGATAAGAACCGATAACTTCGGTTCTTTTCGATTCCTAATTTTAGGCAATAATCGAAATTACCGTAAATTTCGGTTCCAATTTCGGTTCTTAGCGGGAAATATCGCAAAAAATCGAAAATGCTACAAAGAATCGAAATTTGAATGACTTTGAATTTAATTTCGCATGCCATTATTAAAACGTATTTGTAATAAAAACGATTCTTTAAAATAAAAACGATTTTTTAATTAATCCCTTAGGGGAGGGAAATTAAATTTGAATGAATTTGAATTTAATTTTGCACGCCATTATTAAAACGTATTTGTAATAAAAACGATTCTTTACAATATAAACGATTTTTTAATTAATAATTGAAATTTATCGTTTTTATTACAAAGAATCGAAATTACCGAAAATATTGAAAATATTGAAAAGAATCGAAAATATTGATTATAACGAAAGTAGATTATTAAAAAAAAGGTTAGTAATCAATTTACGGTTCTTTTCGATTCCTATTCTGATAAAGAACCGATAACTTAGATTCTTTTCGATTCATATTTTGATAAGGAACCGATAACTTCGGTTCTTTTCGATTCCTTTTTTATAAGGAACCGATAACTTCGGCTCTTTTCGATTCCTATTCTGATAAGGAACCGAAACCTTTGATTCCTTTCGATTCCCCGAAAAATACCGAAGAACCGAAGAACCGAAGAACCGTTTTTCGGGAACTTCAGTCCTTAATATTTTGTGAATATAAAGTGAACAAGTAGAAAGTTTTAATATTTTCATTTTCGTAATAATCAAAGCAGTTTAGGTTAAAATCTCCAATTAGATAACTTCTTTTTTTTTTTCTAGGTTAGTTTTTTCTAAAATATTTTTTTGTAAAAAGTTGCAAAAGTTTTCAGTTTTACCAGTTGATGGCCTGTAGCAACAGCTTATTAACAGGTTTTTTGATTTCTTATTTATCAGTTCGATTGTTAAAATCTCATTATTTCCATCAGAAACACTCATATCGCGTCAAAGTTTATACAATAGATTATTTTTTACAAAAAAAAGAACTCCATCTCTACGCCTATCATTGTTTCGCTCTAAAATAATCGGATTGAAACCAGGTAGGTTTCAATCATTTTCAAAATCAGAAAGTGAGTACCATGTTTCAGTTACGCAAATTAAGTTAAAAGCCTTATCAGTTTCACAAATAATATTTAAGAAGTTTTCATAATTCTTTTTTGAGCTTCTAATGTTTTTATGGATTACATTCAAATAATTATTATTACTTTCATCAAATTTTAAAATTTTTTTGATTTTATTTGGGTATAAATAAGTGCATTCAAATTTAGGTGTGTTAATTTCGTTAAAATAATTTATATCTGGATCAGTGCTTTCATTGAAATTGTAATTATTAGTTTGAAAAAAGTTAAATAATTTTTTAAAATCATGATTATTTAAATCCATTTTAGTATTATCAGCTCAAAAAAGCATGTATATAAATTTAAAAATCACGTGAGTATTGTATGTTGCAAACAACTTTAGCAAACTTACCCTTAGACCTTAATTCTTTTGCCTCTATAAACAGATTTTTTCTTACCTCGATTGTCCGTTCGCTGAAGTTTATATAGATTTGTTGATCCCACAATTTTAGTTTAATGTAGTTTTTTAACCCCGTAAGTGTGTCTGACGGATATATCCGTCTTTCATTGGTGTAGCTCTATGTGTGTCTGACGGATATTTCCGCATTTTGGAACTGTTGCACCGTTTGTGACTGACGTTATGCAATTAAATCAAAAAAATACAAACGATGAACCAAATTGGATAAAAATAGATGGTTATAAAGCAAGTTCTGCTAAATTTGAAGGTAATCCAGGACCTGATCCAAGTTTTCTAGTTAATAGCAGTCCTCTTACTATATTTGAAGCATTTGTAACAGACGACCTTGTTGATCTTATTGTCGAGCAAAGTAACCTTTTCGCAGTACAATATCTAAAAAATAATGTAATTAAAGGTAGATCTCGAGTTCAAAAATGGACACCTTTAGTCAGAGCTGACATCAGACTCTATATAGCATTCATTTATATCGTGGAATCCTATGGAAACCAACAAATGGAATGTATTTTTCAACAAATCCTCTGTTTGACACACCTTTAATAAGAAAAGTGTTATCTTTTGATAAGTTTTGTCTTATTGAGAAGTTTCTTCATTTTGTTGATAACAGTAGTTTACCAATACATTCCTGTAAAAAAGCAAAAATTGAACCCATCTACGACTACCTAGTAAACAAATTCAAAACTCTGTACATACCAAATAAAAATATATCGATCGACGAATCGTTGCTGCTTTGGAAAGGTCACCTAAGCTGGAAGCAATACATTCCAAGCAAACGTTCCAGATTTGGAATGAAGTCTTTTGCATTATGTGAATCAGCTACTGGGTATATTTGGAATTGTTTCTTGTACACTGGTAAGGAAATGACTGACGGTTTTGCTCTTGACATGCACAAATACAAGTATCAAGCTACTAAAATTGTTATTACGCTAATGGATAATTTAATTGGTAATGGCTATTGTTTACATGTTGACAACTGGTATACATCTTATGAAATTTGCAAGGTATTACTGGATCATAATACTGATTGCATTGGCACATTACGTATTAACCGAAAACAGTTACCACAAGATATAAAAAATTCTAAGATTAAAACTGGCGATACTTTAGTTCGTTTTGATACTAAAACAAATATAATGTGTACCAAATGGAAAGACAAAAAAGATGTACACATGCTGAGTACCTGTGTTCAAAATGATACAGTCGTTGTTAATAGAGCTGGTAAAGAAAAAAATATTCCTCTTGTGATACATGAGTATAACAAAAACATGGGTGGTGTTGACCGATCTGATCAAATGTTAACAACATACGAATCCGAAAGAAAAAGGGTGAAAAAATGGTACAAAAAGATTTTCATGCATTTGATTAGTGTTAGTGCATTCAATGCAAATATTATAAACAATAAAATATCACCTAATATGACATCCTTGCAGTTTAGAGAGTCCATTATTAAAGAGAGTATTGTCAAGTACCATGAATCAGTTGAGAAAAAAAGAAGTCGAACTCGAGTATTACCATCTCCTTTAAGATTAGTAGAACGTCATTTTGTCGATGCTATACCAGCAACAGAAAAAAATATAAAACCATGTAGAAGGTGTGTTGTCTGTTCTGAAAACAAAGTTAGATCAGATACCCGATATATGTGTGTAGACTGTAATGTTGGTTTATGTGTTGTGCCTTGTTTTAAGTATTACCATACAAAAGAAAACTTTAAAGGTTTTTGTAAATAATTAATATTTTGTTATTATATTCTTAGTGTTTTACAAATCTGAGTTTTATCTTTTTATTAAAATTTGTAAAAATTTTAGTTCTTCATTAATATTGTTATCAAAAAATTAGAAATGCAATTTTTTTTTTTTTTTTTTATTATACAAATTTAGCGTACTAAACGAAAGTAAATTTGACAACTTAAAGCGATCATTAACAAAAATATTTTGCCGTAAATAACAACGCGATGTTTAAATTTACGCCACAGTTAAGGGGTTAATATTATATTTTTATCTTTAAAATTTAGAAATTTAACTATAAGGGATTTGTTTGTTTGTTTTTCTTTTTTACCAACTCGATCCGCTCTTCCAATAGCGACATCATGCTTTAAATAAAGCTTAGACTTAATAAGTTCTTGTATTTTGTTTTCGCTGTTTTTCCAAGATTCATTATCACTTTCTTTTATGCCAGTAAATCTTAATTTGTTTCTTCGAGTTCCGATCTTCGAGTTATCTTTTATATAATCATCGTTTTCCAATTTTTTGTTACTATCATTTTCTTGGCGACATAAACTTTCTGCTTTTTTAATTTCAGCTAATTCTATAAGGATGTTTTCATATTTATCACTTATAAACTCAACGGATTTCTTCAATTCAGTGACTTTGTTTTTTAATTTTTTATTGTCTTCTTGTACTAAGCATTGCGTAGTGCAAGACGACAATAAAAGCTATAACTAAAATATTTTATTTTATTATGTTTTGTCAAATAGTTTATAATAGTCAGCTACAAGTTTTACTATAAAAATAAAAAAAAATAAAAAGTTATTTGTCAACTTTTCAACATAAAGGTCAACTTTTTCAACATCAAAGTCAACTTTTTCAACATCAAGGTCAACTTTTCAACATCAACTTTTATTAAACTTTTCCGTGAAAAAATTGAAAGACTAGAATAGTTTAAATTTTTAGACATTTTGAGAAAATTTTTATATATCTCTACAGCAAAGAAAAAGTGCGTCCGTTCACCTTGAAGTTGAAAAGTTGATGTTGAAAAGTTGACCTTTATGTTTTTTTTTTTTTTTTTTTTTTTTTTTTGTTCTTTTCTTGAATATTCAATATAGTTATACAATAAGATAGTTGAGATAAAAATCGTTATACAATAAAAGAAAATATATACAAAAAAGAAAGAACGCGGAGACTCGCAGAAGACCTTCAGGTCTTATCATCGAGAACCGCTCGTGAATATTAAGTACATTAAATTAACATGAAGTAAAAAATCTAAACAATGTCGTATTAAAAATTAGCGAGAATGTAAATTTCGTAATAATATATAAATAAAATTGGAATAAAGAAATTGTTGATACTCTTATATATAAATACAAAATATTTTAAAAAGTACTGTTTCCACAAACACATAAGTTATGGATCAGATATAATATTTATATATTACCTTATGTAATAAACTTTATATTCATTTTTAAAAGAATTTAAAAATATAAAAAAATGTCTTCAAAAGACAAAACAATTTCTTTTAGTTTTTTCTTGAATGAAAGATAATTCCATTCATGGGAAAAATCAAAATTTTTTAAAACTATTTTGTTCCATAGAAAAGCTCCTCGATATGAAATACATGACTTTCCAAAATTAGTTAAAGATAAAGGTTGCTGAATTTGATTATCATTTCTTAAGTTATATTTATTTTTATCTTTTAAGGTATATAGATTATGAAAAGAAACTGGAGATTCGTTGGTTTTACACATGAACATAAAACAAAGTATATTAAAAATATTTAGCTGATAAATATTAAGAATTTTCATTTGAAATAATAATGGTTTGGCATGAGCAAATCGATCTTTATAATTGATAAGCCGAGCAACATGCTTCTGCTGACGATAAAGAGGTAGCAGTTTAGATTTAGTTTTCAGATTCAGTTTAGATGTTGAAAAAGTTGACCTTGATGTTAAAAAAGTTGATTAATAACTTTTTATTTTTTTATTAAAACTTGTAGCTGACTATTATAAATTAGTTGACAAAACATTATAAAATAAAATATTTCAGTTATAGCTTTCCAGTGGGCACAAGACATAAAAAAGACGTCTTTCAAACGTCTTTTGAACGTTTTGAACGTCTTTTGAACGTCTTTTGAACATTTTGGACATCTTAATCTAATACTATTAGATAGTTGTATAAAAGTAAATTGAATTTTGTCGTAAATTAATCAAACTTCTTACTTAATTATTATTCTATAAAGTTTTTCGTTATTCCATAATGTTTTACTGTTTTAATAAAACAGTACAATAGTTAAACAAAGAACTTTATGGAATAATAATTAAGTAAGAAATTTGATAAATTTACGACAAAATTCAATTTACTTTAATACATTTATCTTGAATATAAGACTTTTATATACCTAATTACAATATATTAAGATGTCCAAAACGTTCAAAAGAAAAAAAAAACCGCAAAACTTTTACGGTTTTTTTCTTTTTTTTTTTTATAGTTTCTTATTACGGTGTTTACTTGAAATGAGTACTTTTTACTATATGTAAATATTCCATGAAATTTAAGATCTATTTCAAAATATATTTGCAGGGTTCAATTTGACGGTCGGATAACGCCGCCCCTCGGACCATTTTTGAGATCGGCAAAAACTATTGTTGGTTTTTTCATTAAAAATGAGCAATCATTGGTTGCCCCCATAAATCCGATCTCAAAAATAATTTAGGGGGCGGCGATATCTGACCGTTAAATTGAACCTTAATTTGAACGTTCAAAAGATGTCTTATTTAGGTCTTTTGCCCACTGGGTTCTTAATGTATGACAAAATAAAATAAGCAAATTGGCTAAAATTTGCCCGATTTTCAAATACCACAATGGCCAAACAATAAATATTGAGATCAAAATATTTTGTATTTATCATCTATTATACAAAGCAAAAATGTAAAATAGAGCGGAATTGGTGACATTCATTTTTTTTTTCTACAAAATTGTCTGACTCTTTGAGACAAGGGCTCTTATACATTGGTGGTCATCCTTGCCTAATGTGGATTTTGACCCGCATCTTGGGGGAGTGTGAATAAATATAATTGTATAATAATTGCACACACAATTAACACCTACAAACTCTCACACACTCTCACACACACTTAATGCACACGAGTACGGACACGTACGGAATACTCGATGTTGCGACTTTTGTTCATCTTCTTGTTTGTTATTTAATCAATTATAAATCATGTCTTCAAAGACTGTTGCGCCTTCAACTTTCTTGTTAAAAGTTGCTTAAAATTATTTGTATTATAATTAGTTGAAGTCTTTTAAAATTAATTTTGTAATAAATATTAAATTTTTACATTTTTTCAATTAAGTACAATTAGTTGGGATTTCGTTGAGATAAAAACTTCTTTCAAAAAACTTATAGTTTCACGAACAACTTCTTGGTTAAAACCTCTTAAAAACTGAATATAAGATATTTTTTATTAATTTAAATATTTTATATATACACTAACTATATAATTACAGAAATAGCATTTTTTTTTGCTTCTATTAAAAATACTTAAAATTTCATTTAAAGCATAAGTAAAATATTATTGATGTAAAAAAAGATATTTGATTATTTTTAAACAGTTATTGTTTGTTTATTTAACACATATTTAACACATGTGTTATAAAAATTTATTATAGATTTTATTCTGTTTTATATTGATTTTTTTAATTATCCTATATTTTGTTATGTTATATTTTTGTTGTGTTATAAGTTTAGTGATATTATGGGTTGTGATGGTGGAACAATACCAAAGCGCCATGAGCTTATAAAAACTGCAAAAAGACCAGCACAAAAGGACAAAGACATGGATAGAAATGCGAAATGGTCATCATGCGCTATTAGTCAGCAAGGTTTACTACCTCCCATAATGTGTTGTGAATTAGGGAAACTTTACAGGTATAATTTTTAAATAAAATTTAATTATATTTTTCTTGTTAAACTATGTTGCTTTTTTATTAGAACTAATTTATATTTTTATTACAAAAATAAATTATATTTTTATTGAAAAGTAAATATTATTTTTATTATTTATTGTCGTAATAAATAGTTGGTATTATTTTCACAAAAAAAATGTTAGTACTATTGTCATAAAAATACAATTTTTATTAGCAGTTTTGATATTAACAATATTTTTAATAAAAAGAATATTCTTATTCTTGAATATTCCTATCGTATGATTTGGCAGGTTTGCACAAGTTTTTATAAAATATTTTTCGTTTGCTATTATTAATGCAGCCTATATAATATATAATGTTGAGTATTCATCTATAATCAAATAGAATGACCATATTTAAATTTATTTTGTTCCACCTTTTTTACCTAAGAAAAAATTACTAATGCACACAGGGAAAAAGATTTTTCCTGTGCACATTAGTAATCAGTGATATCAATGATGATGTTGACTTTGGTAAGTTATGGATTGGGAATATGAAGATATATAAGTTGTTAAAGATCCTCATTCACATACACCTGACAGATTTTATAAAAGAAATCCTGCTCTCTGATCAGTTGATTCCTATCAGAGAAATGTGATATAGCTCAAGGAAAGAGAGCTTAAGTCTGCGGTGGTATTCGACAAAACAATGCCAGTAAAAAAATAAACCTGTTAGAGTTTAGGCAGAAAAAAAGGTAACAACACTAGAGGTGGTAGAAGATAAGCTTTTAATACCAGAAGGAAATTAAATGCTTGAGTTGCAAAAGCAGATCTAGATCAAGAAAAATTAATTACTATCAGCTTCGGAACATTTTAAAATTAATAATGTTTTTGATCTACATTTACCATTTTTTTTACATAAATTAAGGGTGATGCAAGAAAACTTTTTCTAGAATTAAACAAACTATATTCACCCATGATTGAACTATTGGTAATTAAAGCAAATTGCTATGCACAAGTTCAGACCTGGATTTGGTCATATGAATAATCGTCACCAAAAGTTAATAATAAATTTTTAAAAATTTTATATTTATCTTTGATGATTGAGCTATTGGTAATTGAAACAAATTGCTATTCACAAGTTTAGACCTGGATTTGGTCATATGAATAATCGTCTCCAAAAGTTAATAATAAAATTATAAAAATTACATATCTAATATAAAACGAAAATTTTTCAAAGAAAATAAAAAAACCAAGCAGCCCTCTTTGGTTGGTGCCCCTAGGCAGTTGTCTAGATTTGCTTAATGGCAAATGCGCCTGTGCTCAATATTTTTATTGTGAGAACCTCAATAATCTTAAGCATAGAATGTAAGAATTTAGAAATCTATTACTGTTTTAAAAAATGAAAATGTTTCTGGGTTTATTTGCTTATCGGAGTTAAATAAAAATTGATTATAAGAATTATAAATTGCTTATAAGAATTATATACAATTCAACATCTGAGTTTTTTAATGCTTCAATGTTCTCTAAATATATGACACCCTGTTGCTTTCAACTGATTTTGAAATTATTACTGTTAAAAATGGTTAATGACATGAATTATGATGGTCATTACAAATTTAAATAGAGAAAAACAATAATTGAATAATAAAAACAGTAATTGACCAATAGTAGAATTAAATAGAGACTGGTATAAAAATGTTTTCTGACATATTATAGTTGAAAAAATATTTTATATTTGCTTATCACTGATGTAATAGTAATAGTAATATATGTTTCTGCATAAATAATATTTCACATAGTATTTGTTATTATGAATTTATGTGAGCTCTGCGACCCACTGACAGTAGATGGTGCATTATACCAGCCATAGCTTATCCTGTCAAATAAAACCTTAAATTCATAGACTGATTTTGATGTTTTAATGTCATTTGGTATACTTGATTAGTCATCTACTCTTCGTCTTCTAGAATTAACTCTTACTTCTGATTTTTCTTGATTTTATTGTCAGGTAGGAGGGGTTAACCAACATTTACACATATTTTATAAACAATATGCAATCGTTAATCAATTTACAATATGTAACATTACATTTTTGCATAACATCATATAAATTAATGCTAGATGCATTTGCAGTCATGGAATGATAAAAATCAGGTTTCAAAACAGGGTTGCTTGGTAGTTCTTTAAAAAACACTGGAGTAAATATAATATAAATGTTCTAATAACAACCTAATCAAAGAATTTTATTTTGGAAAAAACACTAGAGTTAATAATATGATAACAACCAAATCAAATTTTAATTAGTTTAAAAACTCCTACTAAATAAAAAAAATAATGAAATATATGGACTTGTGAAGTTTATTGGAAGATCATAATGCATTTTAATGAAATCTATTTGTAAAATGTAAAACTCATTTTTTTTGTGTAACATGATTTTTAAATTGACTGTCAACCCCTATCTGACAATAAATTTTTTTTTTTGTAACATGATTTTATTTTTTTTGTAACATGATTTTTTTTTGTAACATGATTTTATTTTTTTTGTAACATGATTTTTTTTTGTGTAACATGATTTTTAATTTGACTGTCAACCCCTCCTACCTGACAATAAATTCAAGAAAAATCAGAAGTAAGAGTTAATTTATAATTTTTTGAGAGATTTACAAATTTTTAAAAAGATATCAGTTAATTACTTAATTGCAATTCTTTAAAGCAGAGTACATATTGATGTATGAGGCACATGGTGCAAAAAAGGTACTAAAAAAGTACCTTTTTGCATCGTGTTTTTAAAGGACTTTTAATTTTTTCAGATTAGTTGTTACCAGATCTAAATAGAGGGAAAAAAAACTACAAAATAACAAAAAATCATCTTGATGTTTTTACTAATAACAGAATTATGGAGTTTTTAACGTATTCTTCGATGAAATATTTTGTTTCTGAGAAAAATGTTTCTGAGAAAAATGCAAAAATATAAAAAATTATGTTAGTGTTGTAAGTTAGCTGAAGTTTTTTCTCAACAACCTTATCATTTTATAAATACTGTTATTTGACAATAAAAAATTCTTATTTTTATTAATAAGTAGCAGTAAGCAAATCGTAGTTTGGTTTAATAGTAATTAAATTATTAATAACAATATAACTTTTTATATGATTTAAAAACTATAATTAACTACAAAATTATCTATTAAAATTTTTTTAGTTTTGCTCTTTTTTAGCAATATTTTGGGTTTTAGTTTAAAGCATAAAAAAACTAGATTTCTTTTTAAAATCAAAATTTAAAATCTTTTTTACAAGTTCTGTTTAAAATCAGCTATAACACAATAGGCACCAGAGGAAGATTGGAAAGCCAAGTAAAGCCTGTCAATACCTAAAAGAAAGTAATGAAAAAAATAAAAATAAATTATAAAAGTATTTCTTTAAATTTTATTGTTAATAGAATTAATATAATAGAAAATAAAGAAAAATAAATAGAAAATAGCTATACTAGCCTAGCTCTATCATAATTACTTTAATAATTTAGGTGCTGCCGTTGTTTGAATATATAAAATATATATAAACCTCTATAAATTACTTTATTTATTTAACAATTGGTTTATCATTAAGGCCTATTCTGGAAATATTAAAAAAAATTACTATCTAAATCTTTAAAAAAAGACTTTTAAATATTTTAATAACTTAAATTAGACTTTCTTCTTCTTCTTATAAAAATATTCAACTTAGCTGCAATGAGTTACATGACAATGTAGTTTATCTAAATTTATCTAAATTAAAAAATCAAAAAAACTATAAAAAAATAAATTTACATTTACATACCTTTACAAAAATACATAAAACCTTAAATAAAGAAATATGGAAAGGCATAAATACTGTTTCTTGATTACATCCAGCAGAATTTTTTTTTTCTTCTTTTAGTTAATTTTTTTTTAGAGAAAATTTACACATGGATACAGAGAAATATAAAATATAACAGAGAAAGAAATAGGTTAATATATAGAGAAATAAAACTGAGTAGTAAACTCACTCAAATCAAAACCAGTTTTTATTTCTATAAAGTTTTATCCATATCAATCTTTCTAGGCTTAAAAAAAGATATAACCATAAAGTTAATTAAACCAATAGGCGCTTCAGCCACTTTAGTTCAATTCACTTTATTGTTATATTTTTTTAATATAGTATCCATTCATTATATACCATGTCCCTGGTAGTACCGCACTCAACTCATTTCTCTGCACAGTGGCCTTGTTCGTCAAGGTTCGTGTTTCGGAGTTATAGAGTTGAGAGAGGGTTATAGCCTCAAATAAGTAGCCTCCTCGTCTGTAGTGGCCTTCTCGGCCTTGAGGAGGTGAATTAAAATTAAAAAAAAAAAAAAAAATATTGTATATAGCATCCATTTGCTTTTTTTTTTTAACTTTGTTAACAACTAAAAAAAACTAAACTGAAAAGAAAACTATTAAACCATCATTTTTACTTTCTTGTCACAAGTAAAAGTTATTCTTGCAACTCATCTGATTTACACAACAGTGTCACAAATAAAAACAATTAAAAACAGGATTTTTTTTTCTACATTTTAAGGAAAATTATGTTATAAAAATTATGGCCAAGTAAAGTATGTTGATTTGATTGGTTTAAAATGATTGGTTTTAACATTAAAATTTTTTTAACACATATCTTTAAATGTTTATACTATAATGAAAATCTTTTAAGGAATAAATATTGAAATACTTTTAAACAAAAGTAAAACTGTTGCTTTAAACAATTGTTTATAAACAATTTTTTTTTTATTACTTCAAGTTTTTTTTTAATTTGCAATATTTTGTATCATTTTTAGTAGTTGTATTGTTTATTGTTATAATACTGATAACATATTTAATTTTTTAGCAAGGAGTCTGTTCTTGAGTTTTTACTTGATCGCTCAATTAGTGACAGTGCCACTCACATTCGTAGTCTGAAAGATGTCAAAGAGCTTAAATTAACTAAAAATATTGGATACAAGAAACCGTTGCTAGAACTGGCTGATCAGTATCATGAGACACAATCGTCTGAATATGTGTGTCCTATTGTGGGTAAAAAAATTTATCTTCATCAAATAATCTTAAAGGGATCCCAAACCTCCGAGATAAGTTGTATTTATAATAAAGAGAATGATAAATAAAAATGTTTGGGCTATATTTTTTTGATTAAAATAAAAGAATAAATGAATACCAAGAAAAACTTTTTTTTTTTTATTTTTATTCAAAAATCAACAATGTAATGTACTGAAACTCTAAGGAATAAAAGGAATAAAATAAAAGGAATAAAATAAAATTTTAAATTATCAAGTCTGTAGATTGTGGCGTATATTATTCTGATTTTTAGGCCTATAATTAAACGGAAAAGTCAAGCTTCGACTAAAATAAAAAAAGTTGAATTTTTTTGGTATTCATTTATTTTTTTGTTTTAATCAAAAAAATTTAGCCCAAACAATTTTATTTATCATTCTCTTTAATATAAACACAACATGTTTCGAAGGTTTGGGATCCTTTTAATATGAACACAACATGTCTCGGAGGTTTGGGGTCCCTTTAAAATGAACACAACATGTCTCGAAGTTTTGGGATCCCTTTAAAATGAACACAACATGTCTCGAAGGTTTGGGATCCCTTTAAAATGAACACAACATGTCTCGAAGGTTTGGGATCCCTTTAAATAATCAGTTAATCCTGAACAATTTAGTATTATTTTGCAAATTAGTAATATTTTATTTTATTTTTTTTTGAAATAGAAATAGACAAATTAATAATTATGTAAAATAAATTTTCAAAATAAATTGTCAGTTAAATTCACAGGTAATCAGAATATTAGGTAGGTATAAATTTTTAGCCACGTTTTTGCAATATTGGGAATACTTGTTGTTATTATTCTACTAAATATTAAGAATTTTTATTGATATTGTCCTATTACTTAAAAGTTTTTAAAACCATTATAATTTAGGAATTGAAATGAATGGAAAGTACAAGTTTTGTGTGCTATGGACTTGTGGTTGTGTTTTATCAGAGCGGGCATTAAAAGAAATCGACACCTTGTCTTGCCACAGTTGTGGTATAAAATTTACAAAAGATGATATTGTTATAATTAATCCAGAAGATTCAGATGTTTTGACAAATGAATCAAATATGATCAAGCGAAGAGAACTTGCAAAACTAGTTAGAAAGGAAAAAAAAGATACAAAAGATGCCAAAAGAAAGTTAGACCAAGTTGCATTTAAAACTCCTGTCGCACCTTTATTAAAAGAAAGCTCTACATCTTCTATTGATAGTAATCAATCTGTTAAAAGAACAAAAATTGAAAATAAAACTGTGAACACTGTTTCTAAAGTCCAACAAAAAGAAAAGATAACAACAAGTTCAGAGGAATTTCCTGATGCAAAGAAGAGCAAAGTCTATAAAAGTTTGTTTTCTTCAAGTGAAGAAAGCAAAAATAGAGACAAGAACAAAATTTCTAATTGGGTTACTTACAACCCTTACCATTTATGATGCTTTGATGTATATATGAGTTTACATAAAAATGTTTAAATGATTTTTGTTTAATCAACTTTATTTATTAAAAATTATTAATAAACGTTTTATTAATTTTTGTTAAATATAAAATAATACATGATGATATTATAAAAAAACTTTTTTTATATAGCATTAATTTTTCTCTAAATATTATCTATTTTTGTTAATATTTCTTTTATTAATCAACCTAAGTATTGTTTACATATTGCATGTGTACATACATTCCTTCATACATTCTTACATTCATACATACATACATACATACATACATACATACATACATACATACATACATACATACATACAACTAAATACATGTCAACTAAATTTTTTTGACTAAAGCTGTTGTCTATTTTGTTTTCAGCCTCAACATTTTTTGCACACAAATAATGTGTGTTTATATATATATATATATATATATATATATATATATATATATATATATATATATATATATATATATATATATATATATATATATATATATATATATATATATATATATATATATATATATATATATATATATATATATATACATATGTGTACTCACACCTATATTTATTTATTTTCTTTCATGATATTTATGTTATAACTTCTAATGTCATTTCTAATTTTTGTTTTGTAAGATTTTTGTTGTTATTAGAAACTGATGTACATAATGATATGGTGTGTTAAGATAAACAAGATAAACATGATTTAATCATGAATTTTGTGATACTTATTGTTCAGTCTTATACTTGTATGACAAATTCAGTATTTGGTTTTATAAAAAATCTACGAAGTCGCAAAACAATAACAATAACGTTGATTAGTTTGATTTTTTTACTATACTTGTCAACATCTTATCTACTTCCTGCCCATAGACATTTCCACACATCACAAGTGCAGGATCGTGCTCTAAATCCAAAAACATGCTTAGAAAATTCAATAGAAAAATGGAGAATATTGATGCAACAAAGTGATGCTATTATGAAGGAGTATCCTGGTGCTCCCACAGAGAATGTATTTTTTCCATTTACAGGTTTCGCTAATCTCTTTAAGTTTAATGTAAATTTGTGTAATTTATCTATATTTGTTCTAATAATTTTTTGTAGCAAAGTTTAATAAAATTAAAAATATAATTTTAATTCTTGATGCATTTATTTTCTAATATACTTTTTCTGATATTTAAGGCAACGGTTTTATTGGTTTTTCATCAGAAGGTAGTTTTTCAAAATTTTTTTTACTTGATCAAAAAGACTTTACAGAAATATCTTTTGCTCCTATTGTTGATGTTAAGATAAGTGAACCCACTTCACAAAATGAACAAATTTTAGTTTTAAATATTGTTGAGGGTACTGTTCATCGTCTCACAGGTTACAAAGTGGTAGGTTATTATTTCTTTTAAATGATAAAATTTATTTGTAACATTATTTTTTTATCATGTTGAGCACAAACTTAATCAACATGGTAAAAAAAGGAATTTTTTTTTTTTCTTTAGAATCGAAGTTGTGTAGTGGTAGAAGAAACATTTTATGCTCATCGATTTCATAAAAGTTTATTCATTCAAAGTATTGAAGTTACCAATAGTGCCAAAATGCCTATACATGCTGAGCTTTCTCTTGTAACCAATTCTGATAATACAAAGCAACTAACAAAAAAAATTGACACTATATTTGATGGTATAAAAGTATTATCAGTTCACGGAGTTGAAGAGCATGAAACTAAAATAGTGAACTTTACAAGTGTTATTTCTAATTTTCAAGCGCTTCTACGAATTCCGCAACAGAGTAAAAATAAAGTTGATGTTTTGTCCATCACAAATTTTTCTTTTATCCCAATAATAACAAGTAACAGAAATCGAAAATCGATTTCCTCTGCTGTCACTAATCTCTTTCAAAAGGAGTCTTTAGATCTCTTGACTTCAGTTCTTAACATCAAAGTAGAAACATTACTTGAGCAACATTTGAAAGGTTGGAGTGAGATATGGAAGGTGAATATTTTTTTTATATAAAATTGTTTTTAATTTCTTAATCTTTTTTTGATCAGATTTTGTCAGAAATTACAATTTGATTTTTTTGCCTCTAGACTTTTTTATATTGGGTTGTTATTATGTCACATTGCAATCATTGTTGCAATGTAACATAGTAATCATTGTTGCATTTTAAGTTTTTATCAATATTGTATAATGTTATATAATTATCAGATAAATATTACCATGCTATATTATTATCAGATAAATATTATTATGTCACATAAAAATCAAATAAATATTATCATTTCATATAATTATCAAATAGCTATTATTATGTCATATAATTATCAGATAAATTTCATAATGTATATATACATATAGTTATCAAATAAATGTTAAAAAGTCATATAATTATCAAATAAATATTATCATTTCATATATAGTTAATGTCAAATAATAATTGTTATGTCATATAGTTTTCAGATATTACTATTGTCAGATAAAGATTACTAAAAATGTCATAGATAATGAGACTTTATCTTTTTTAATTTGGTTTCCTTTACTAGCGCAGAAAACTTTTAAAATATATTTGGTGGGAATAATATTAGATGCCACAGTAATTGTGGCATTTACAATTGTGCTGCTAAAGGTTTTGAAAAAAATCTTAGCAATAAACTTCTTTACCTTACCTGTTGAAACCACATTTTATAAACCTTTGTTAAAGATGTTATAGATTGTTATGGAACAAGTTATTTAAAAACATCTTTGATCCAGAAAATAAGTTCTTTACAATTTTCAAAACTGCTTGGCCAGCATTAGATAAACAGTTGACAGCTATGATTTTAGATATTGAAGACATCATTTTATCTCTTGTCTTGTCATGAACATCATGTATAGACCATAAGTTGCTGATGCAAGTAATAGACCATAAAGTTGCTGATGCTATTTTTCTATAAAAAAAAAATTACCATAGCAAAATTACTACCAAAAGAATACTTATTAAATTCCAGATAAAATTGTTTTTATATTTTACTTTAACATAAGAATAGGAAAGAAGTTAGGTATGTTGATTTTAAAAATATTTTGCATACTGCACAGCCATAATTGTTAACAAAATAATTAAATATATGTACACACTAATATATATATATATATATATATATATATATATATATATATATATATATATATATATATATATATATATATATATATATATATATATATGTATGTATGTATGTATATATATATATATATATATATATATATATATATATATATATATATATATATGTATATATATATATATATATATATATATATATATATATATATAAATATATATATATGTATATATATATATATATATATATATATATATATATATATACATATATATATATATATATATATATATATATATATATATATATATATATATTACATATATATATATATATATATATATATATATATATATATATATATATATATATATATATATATATATATATATATATATATATATATATATATATGTATATATATATATATATATATATATATATATATATATTTTAATTTTATTTATTTAACCATAAAATATGAAAAATTTACAATAGTTATAAACTCACATAAATAAGGTTAGGTGAAACACATATGGTTAAAAACTAGCAGAGGTGGAAAGTAATGAATTAGATTTACTTGTGTTACTGTAATTGAGTAGTTATTTTGTAAATTTCTATTTTTTAAGTATTTTTTTAAATGTGTACTTATACTTTTGCTTAAGTTTTTTTTTTTTAAGTGTTGTACTTTGCTATATTTGCTCACTTTAATAAAAATGACACTTTTTACTTATTTAACAAAATTTTGAGCGCATTCATAACAACTTTTAGCTGCTTTAGCTCTTTTCACTTTTTACAACCATAAAGTTTCTGTGCAAAAAAAAAAAATTTATACAGACTGTTTTTTTATTCGACAGCTTTGTTAACTTACAGGCTGTTAAACACAATAACTTTTACTCTGAGTACATTTTTAATTAGCTACTTTTTACTTTTACTTAAGTAAACTATTTGACCGGTAACTTTTAGTTGTACTTGAGTAAAATTTTACTTAAGTAACAGTACTTTTACTTGAGTATAATTTTTTATTACTTTTTCTACCTGAAAACTAGTCAATGGAGTGACACCTAAAAAAAAACAAATACAAAAAAAAAAAAAAAAAAACTAATAATGAAAAGATAGAATTAAAAATAAAATAAACAGAAAAAAAAAAAAGAAAAGAAAAGAAAATAAAGCACTAATAAATAAAGATAATAATAATAATAATAATAATAATAATAATAATAATAATAATAATATAAATAAAAAAATATTACAAATAGTAGCTATAATATGATAACTTTACCAAAAATTATAACTAATGATAAAAACTATGGTAAAAATAATTATAGTAATGTGTGTAACTATGAGAGAAATTATTAAATTAGTTGTAACATTTGCAAAAATTATGACAATAACCATAAAACTAGACAATTACTACAATGGAATCACTATCAATATTAATTATAAATATTATTAATAAGGTTTTTAAAACAAAGATGAATTAATGATAATAATAATAATAATAATAATAATAGTAGAGTTAAAAAAGACAGTAGTATAAAAGAAAGTATAAAACAAAAGTGATAATAATTTTATAAATACAGTAATATAAAATTTTTTTATATTATTGTATTTATAAAACTATTAATATTCATTAGATATAATGAATATTGCAGGGTTATTCATTCTTATATGCGCTTTTATTCATTTTTATATGCGCTTTTATTCATTCTTATATGCGCATTTATTCATTTTTATATGCGCCTTTATTCATTCTTATATGCGCGTTTATTCATTTTTATATGCCCCTTTATTCATTCTTATATGTGCCTTTATTCATTCTTATATGCGCATTTATTCATTCTTATATGCGCATTTATTCATTTTTATATGCGCCTTTATTCATTCTTATATGCGTTTTACAAAAGCAATTTTTAAAAAGCAATTTGAACAAAAAAAAAATCATTTAAGCAATTTGTTTTGAAAAAACAGTTTTTTTTTAAAACAAGTTTTTCTTATTTTCAGGTAAACAAGGTTAAAAATACTTAGTTTATTTAATTTAGTATTAGTTCTTTGTAATTTTATTATTAAATTTCTTGATTGATTAAGTTATTATTTATCTAGTTATTCATTTATCTAGATTTAAATTTAGTTATTTATAATTACTATTAATATCAAATTATACATCCCTATGGATGGAGCAGGACCAATTATAAAACAAGGAAAAATATTACAAAAGAGCACATTGAAATGCTTAAGCAGTTAATTGAAAAAAAATCAATATACAAGAAGCATTTCCACTTCTTATAAATTATCGAAGCGCACAGCTCAAAATCTTGTTGTTAAGTTAAACAGAGGACTATTCGACGACATGACTGCATTCAAGTCGTTTTCTGATAAAAAACGAGGTAAAAGACCTATAAACTCTTAAATAAAAAATATTATCGAATTATGCGCACAAGAAAACAATCTTTACACGCAAGAAGCAATAAAAAAAAAATCTTTCTGCAGCAGGCTTCAACATGTCTCAGCCTGCTATTTCAAGGAAACTCAAACGCTTGGATTTATCAGGAAAATGTGTTGTGCATGTGCCAAAGAACGAAACTCAACACCAGTTATTAATGCAAGCTATGCATTTGCAAGCAAAATAAACGGAATTTCAGATGAAAAACTTATTTATTTGGATGAAACTGGATTTAATGTGCACACTAACAGCACATATGGTTGTTTACGAAGAGGTATGCTAGCAACTTTAAAGTCACTTGCAAATCCTGGTAAGAATATTAGTTTAATTTGTGCTGTTTCAACAATGGGAGTGCTTGCTTATGAAATAAAAATGGAGGCTGGAATGCAGATTCATTTTGTACTTTATAACTACAATGATGAAACCAGTGATTATGAATGCAAAGGTTGAAGCGCCGGTGCTTGTTATGGACAATTGTAAATTCTACTGGAGTCTTTCTATTAGGCAAATACTAGCCTCTCATGGTATAGCTATAAAGTATCATATTACATGGTATAGCTGTTAAGTATTATAGCTATTAAGTATTGATATTAATAATAATTATAAATAATTAAATTTAAATCTAGATAAATGAATAACTAGATAAATAATAACTTAATCAATCAAGAAATTTAATAATAAAATTACAAAGAACTAATACTAAATTAAATAAACTATCATCGAAAAAAAAGAGCTATACTAAATTAAATAAACCATCGTCGAATGTAAAAAGTCTTCATTTTAAGTATTTTTAACCTTGTTTACCTGGAAATAAGAAAAATTTGTTTTGAAAAAATAAACTGTTTTTTCAAAAAAAATTGCTTAAATGATTTTTTTTTTGTTCGAATTGCTTTTTTACAATTGCTTTTGTAAAACGCATATAAGAATGAATAAAGGCACATATAAAAATGAATAAATGCGCATATAAGAATGAATAAAGGCGCATATAAAAATGAATAAATGCGCATATAAGAATGAATAAAAGCGCATATAAAAATGAATAGACGCGCATATAAGAATGAATAACCCTGTAATTTTTTATAAATACAGTAATATAAAAATATAAAATTCATTAGAAATATTTTATATATTTAGACAAGAAAAGTCTTTTATATATATATATATATATATATATATATATATATATATATATATATATATATATATATATACTTTTTAACTTTTTGTAAAATAAATAATTTTCTGTGTCATAAATCAATTAACTTTTACTCAAAAGTAATGAAAATGGGTTTTATTATGATAAGTTTTCAAAAAATTTTACCCGCATGAAATTTTTTTTGTTTTCATTTTTTAATTTTTCAACTCCCCAAGGCCCGATGGGGCCACTGCAGTCAAGGAGGATACTCATTTTTTTTTTTTGTGTGTTTTTTTTTTTATTGTAAATCGTGGTA